GGTACGGGTTCTTAGCGTTCGCGGGGTCCAATATCTTCTGTTGTTTGTGTAATAATCTTTAGATTTTGAAACAATATTAGTAGTGGGATTGTGATGAGCTATGATACATTTACTGACGCCAAGTTTGTTTAGCTCACAAAGCAGTGGTTTCATTTGAATGAAATTATCTCATTCTGTTTACAAACTAAGGATTTACTGGCTTAAAATACCTCTGAAGACCTCGACAATGCTTCGCAGCTTATTCTTGTATCTTGGAATTTGTGCTTTCATAAGCAAAGGTAAGAACATTATTTAAATAATGAAGTAATTCGCTTCGCTTCCCATAGCATCTGCAAGGAAATATTCCAGATGGAATATTCATTCATTCGCAGGCTGTCGGCCTTCATGTTGCATGCTACGAAATGCTCCATACCAAAGAAAAATGATTGAATGATGTATGATTGAGAAATATCGCTTTTTGTACGGTCAGCTTCATGTATTGTCTGTTTTTATCCTTTCAGTTTCTGATACGGCAAATGTTTGGCAGAGATCAAGGGTCTTGCTTGTTGCAGACCTTGGCTCTTCGATAATTGATGCTGAAAAGCTGCAAACGTCTTTCACAGGAACAGATCAAACCACTTTACCGAATGAATTTGTTATCCTTCAGCGAGCACGAGATGGCGGCTTTGAATCTCACGGCTCATTTAAGTCATTGACAAAAGTACAAGATCGGTGAGAATTACTCCCTTTGTTCAGTTCTTGTTATTTTAAGGAGGTGTTTTTTGTGTTATTGAGCAAGACTTCTTTGAGACTCAAGCAGCGAATAATTGCCATTGTCTCGGCGCGTGAATCGTTGAGGTACATTATCATGGACTTAGATTTAAGATGGCTCAAGCATTAAAATTGTATACAATAAAGGACCTGATTGCATCTGAAAATGTTAAATATGTTACTGAGCTAGCTATTTTCAGGTGTCACGTAATTGATTTGACGGCTCTTGAAACCCACCACCTTAACTGTCGCGTCGATTTTCCCCAAAAATGTTTTATTTTTCCAGTTTACGAAAAAAAAAACCCTCTAGAGTCGCTTATATTACACAGTGTTATGCGGACTTTGATCTGTTATTTGGTTTGTGTGATTTAACTTTGACTTGCCCACACTATTGAGAAACAAATTACTGTATTCCGCTAGTTAATTTACCACGAGAAAATATTGATGTCCTTTGTTCTTATTTTAAAACGATAGTTCGCCTTGAGTTTTGATAAATTATGTAAAAGAATGATGTAAATAATTAAGATGCGTGAGACACTACAATAGTGAAAAGTTTTTGTTGTGGTAAGAAATCATTCGTCTCTTCAGCTGCGTGAGTTTATTTCAATATGATCTTTCCTGCTTTTTGTTCTGCGGAAATTAACAATTTGTTTTTAATTCCCTTCTGAACTAAAACTATTTAACTAAATAACGAACTATTCAACTAAAAAACGCTTTTGTTGAACTATTCAACTAAAAAACGCTTTTGTTGATTTGACAAAAGTAATATGCTGGACGAGTTCTCTCGTGAATTTTTTTGCTTTAAATAATTGGTGTGAGGAAAAGAGTATGTTTGACATGTTACAATGGGTTTGGTACTATAAGGAATCATCAAAGGTCCTATTGTGTTTGTTTTGATGATAATCTCTTCTGGTCCCTAAATGTCCCCTGTTGAGACAGTTATAGGGCTAAGGAAATTTGTAGAGAGACGGAGGGAGATTTAAGTTCCTTACACAAGAGCCATCGTGCCTGCTTTGATATTAGGCCTTTAAGCCGTTGCCAATTTAAAGTGCCCTTGAGCTGCAAGGGAACTTATTATTGGGCTTGCTATGTTCATCTGTAGCCTTTCTGGAGCCATTAACTTCTGCTATGGTTGCCACTTAGATGCCCTGAACCCATATCTAGTATCTACCTGTGTTCTATATATTCCATCGTTACAAAAGATTTATTTTGTATTCTTGACTTCCTCTCCCATCACACAGTTTGAATGACTTTTCTTAATGGTTATGACATAACTCGTCATCTCTCTGCTAATAAGTTAATTCAATAATGATGAGTTTGTTCAAATTATTTTGAAAAACTTTTCATTTCTTTACAGGAAATACACTTCTGTTAGAAAAGAAAACATTCTTCCATGGCTGTTAGAAAAGAAGCCAAATTTTGTGATTTGTGTGGCAGATAATGCAGAGGTTCCACAGATTTTGACTTCTGCACAGATCAGAGGTGTGAGACTGGAAAGAATATTTGTTTTAGTTTTCACTAGAAGGGGCTGTAACACTTCATAGGCAATACAATATTCAATTTTCTCTCTTGTTGTTTTGTTCAGTTCCTCAATCTTTAATGGCAACTAATTGCTCCTCGCATTGATATTGGTGTTTATGGAATCACTTTGTTTAACTATTTTGTTTTTCCTATCCATTCAAGTAGTGCCAAGTGTTTGGAATGGAACTACAACCACAATGGGGATGGAAATGTTTGATAGACATTTTGGGGAATGGGTAGCAAACAGTGTAGGATTACAGTAAATGGGTCAAACCTGGGGGGTAATATGTGAAAGTGTAGTGCGATGGTCCAGATGTGTGTAGACCTGAGAGGAGCTATCATGAAGTCATCATCAGAGTCAAGTGTAGGATTGAAGACATCAATATTTCATCAGACAAATCACTGAGTCCATGTCTCTCATTTTTTATTTCCCAGGCCACTCTCACTTTCTCTCTCACTCACCAACCATTCCCACTTTGTGCTATTACTGATGCTGATGACTCTTTTGTCTTTTAGGTTTGTTACCCTTGGAAACCAGACTAACAATATGGATGGTTGGGGATAATGGGAAGGCAGCTGACAAAATGGTAGTTTGTTGCATTGTTGTCTTTTAATTAGTAATTTAAAACCGACCCCATTGTCTCAGAATTCGTATTTGTGTAATGTATCATCAAGAGGTTATTTTAATAGAGAAAAGTGCAAGTAGCGAGGGATCTTGTGACTAAAATTCAATGTTGATGGTGTTGATATGACTGCATCAGAGGTAGTTGTGATTGATGTTCTTAAAGATACAGCAAACGTTTCATTTAAGATATTACCTCGATCTATACAATGAGAAGGAGGTCATTATATACAGAATCCGATCAAATTATAAGTTATTTTAGTTGTTCTTCTGCTAAGGCTAAGGAATGCAATTTGGGCTGAAATCATACGCGTGATTTGAAATCACAAGTATGATTTCAGACTAAAATTGCTCGACATGAGGTTCAATTACCACTTTTTTACATCCATTTTGAAATCCCCCAAATACAGGACTTGATCAATTCAAATATATTTACTGATGCAGTACTGGGCCGGTTTTTTTTTAAATAATAAGTGGAACCGGAAACGCTTTTACATCTTATTTTGTATGCAAAACAGAAAGACTGACGTCATGTGTCAAAAACTCAGTCAAGCGTAAAATGGTGCGATTTAGACACACACTTTTTTTTACACACTTTATTTTTCTTTTTCTTACAAAATGATTTAGTATATGTTGACCCACAGATAGCAAATTTGCTATTCGAGGCGGGTCAATCATCAACAAACATTATTTACAATATATAAAGAAAATTAAAAACTAAATAATTAGATATTGTTAAATTATAAAAAGAAGCATAGCTGGCAAATACATCAATAGTTGTTCAATAAAGTATAGAAGCAAATACATTAGTACTGAAAGCAATCGGATCAATTTGTTTTAATTATGCAGTCCTTAAGTTTAGAGGAGATCTTTTCAACATCAAGATAAGAATCTTCATTATCTAGTATCTGAAATAAAGACGTTTTAATTTGTTTATTAAAGGAATGTTTTGATAACGTTTTGAATTCTTTCGGTATCTTATTCCAAATTTTGACACCAACACGCGAGAAAGCCTTTTTTTGTAGGTTAAGTCTAGAGTACTTTGTACTAAAGAGCTGCGATTTGGATGATCGAGTATTGTAGGTATGAATATGAGATGTTTTAGTAAATAGTTTCAAAATATTAATGGGAGCCCTCTGGTTGTGCACGTCAAACATAAGTTTACTTACGGCTTCATAATATAGGAACGTAACAGGCAGAATTTTTGCTTTGGCAAATAAAGGGATGGCATGCTCTCTTCGATCGGTGAAATAGATTAAGCGCAAAACTCGCTTTTGAAGAACTAAAATCTTGTTTAAATAAGCATTTGACGCATTGCCCCAGGCAAGGAGTCCATAAGTTATATAAGGTAGAATTAATGAATTGTAAATATTTACAAGGATAGTAGAGGGAACGAAGTACCTCAGCTTTGCAATCATCCCTATTGTTTTACTTATTTTTACGATAACAGAGTCAACATGGTTTTTCCATGACAAATTTTGATCAATTAAAACGCCTAGATATTTGATATAACTTTTTTGCTCTAAACTAACTCTTCGGTTTGTCTCACAATCTAAAATACCTATTTGTGGAGAAAAATGCATTTTTTTCTGATGAGGACGAAAAATTAAGAAATTTGATTTTTTTGTATTCAATGTCAACCTATTTGTAGTTAACCAGTCATGTACGTTATTCAACTCTACATTAACCGTTTGCTCGATCGCCTTAAGATTCTTATCAGCATAAAGTATATTAGTATCATCCGCAAAGAGATAAAATTTTAGTTTATCAGAACAAAGGTGAATGTCATTTATGTAAAGTAAAAATAGAAGAGGTCCAAGGACTGATCCCTGGGGGACACCACAGGGGGAGATAAGTTTTGTTGATAAATGCTCTCCAATCTGAATTGTTTGTGTTCTATTTTTTAAATATGATTGAAACCAGTCATTTATCAATCCACGGAAACCGTAAAGCAAAAAAATGGTGCAATTCTTGAATCAATCGCACCAATTAGAGCCAATCAGATTACAGGGACCACCATTGATTTCAGAATGGATGTAATAAACAGTGAAATGAGCGAACTCATCGCATTAATCGGATATCAAACTTGATCTCTAATGAAGTGCAACTGCACCGTGTCAGTCTTAAAAGATCATTCTCTCAAACTGTGTAAGTATTCCCGTATACCCATTCGTTTCCTCTGTCAAGTGTCATTATTTATAATTTGGTGATGTGTTGCGTTCCGAGGCTGCTAGGAAGGAAATTGAAAAGAAAAAGAAGAAAATTCCGATACCCTTTTGTTCTGGCCACTTTGTTCAGTAAACATTTGGGCCAAATTTCAAAATATTCTGTCGATTCCACATTTTCTATTAATTCGTTTGAAGAGGAGACAGCATGTCGAAATCGTATAAGGAGGCTTCCTCTTCCAGAGGTTGAGAGGTATTTAATGCCCTCTCAAATAATATTACGTACACACCGGGTTCCCACCGGGTTCCCACCGGGCTCCCAACAGGCTCCCACCGGGCTCCCACCGGGCTCCCACCGGGCTCCTTCTGTGAGCCGCCAGCCAATGTTGTATCTTCACAGTAGGCATATTGGCGCTTTGCGAGAAAGGGATTTTTTTTCCAGTCACGTTTTCTTCTATGCCACGTTTTCGAAAATCAGGTATGCGTAAAAAAAAGAAAAGGGTTGGAGGCTGGAAAAACCACGAACCGTCATCACTCTCGGCAAGACCTTTCATTTTTCATTGGAAAATTCACAAAGCTTGTGCTTTTGGGTGCTGGTTCTGTCTTTGGCTTTTTATCGAAGACCTGTATTTTTTCTTTCCTTTTTTTTTTTTTTAACGTTTGGTGATTTTCGAAACCAAAGTGCTAGTAAGTTGAAACAGAACCGTGTGTTGCGAAAAGTTTACCGCTTAAGGAGATCATGACACCTATGTAATTTATGGACTTTTATGAACTTTTCGGGAATACGTTCTTTTGCATAACTTGCCAAATTTTAAAGATTTCAAGTTTTTTTTGGAAAATGTGCGTTTCAGTAATGAACTTTAATTTGATTGAAGATCGGTAAACCCCGCGAAGGTTTGAGACCCTGTTTGCCATACTCCCTCTCTTAAGCTGAGTGATGAATTCTTTTGAGCACTGATTGAGATTTACGACAATTCGGATCGTTAGACTCTTTCACTCTTCCACTTTTAAAGCTGGGTGATGGTTTCTGTTTAACAGTGACTTAGATTTACGACTAACAACATGTCTAATTCAGATAGTTAGACCAGTTGGTAAAAGTCGTTGTTTTTGGTTTAAGTGTTCGTTATCTGGCGGAACTTGCTTACTTTTTGTTGAACTCCCATTGATTTTTTTATCTTTCTCTTTCTAGAATTTGATTTCACTTAGAACACCCAGACTCACGGACCTCGATTCAGTGAGAAATGATGGAAATCGTCTAGAGTCAAGAGAAATCAGCTCCTCTTCTGGACGAGATTTTGGAAACATCATTTTAGAAGCGTTTCAGGAAGAATACAACCGCGTTCATAATAGAAAGAGAAGGGCCGCTCGAAGTGTACCTTATGCTATCCCATCATCTTCAAGCTCAGGCCCTTTAGTTAGTGCAGCGTCTTCAAGCTCCAAATCTACAATTTTACCTGTACCTTCGAGTTCAAGTAATGCAGTTAGTAAAGTTAGCTCGAGTCCACCAGTTATTCCAGCACTTACAAGCTCAAGCCCTGAAGTTGGAGCATCGTCTTCAAGCTCAAGTCATACAGTTGTAGCAGGGTCTTCAAGCCCAAGTCATACAGTTGTAGCAGGGTCTTCAAGCCCAAGTCATACAGTTGTAGCAGGGTCTTCAAGCTCAAGTCATACAGTTGTAGCAGGGTCTTCAAGCCCAAGTCATACAGTTGTAGCAGGGTCTTCAAGCCCAAGTCATACAGTTGTAGCAGGGTCTTCAAGCCCAAGTCATACAGTTGTAGCAGGGTCTTCAAGCCCAAGTCATACAGTTGTAGCAGGGTCTTCAAGCCCAAGTCATACAGTTGTAGCAGGGTCTTCAAGCCCAAGTCATACAGTTGTAGCAGGGTCTTCAAGCTCAAGTCATACAGTTGTAGCAGGGTCTTCAAGCCCACGTCCTACAGTTAGAGTAGCATCCTCAAGCTCTAGGTCTACAGCTTTACCTGCACCTTCGAGCTCAAGTCATGCTTTTAGTGCAGCAACTTCAAGTTTTACTCCTGTAGTTCTTCCAGCATCTTCAAGCTTAAGTCGTTTTGTCACTCAAGTAACATCAGGCTCAAGCCCTGAAAATACTGTGGTAGCTTCAAGCACACGCCTGACAGTTACGACAGCACTTTTAAACACAAGTCCTGTTCGTAGTGCAGCATTTTCAAGAACAAGTCCTTTTGTCAGTGAAGCACTTTCAAGCATGAGTCCTGTTATCAGTGCAGCACCTTCAAGTTCACGCCCTACAGTCACTATAGAACTTTCAAGCACAAGTCTCGTTGTAAGTGCAGCACTTTCAAGCTCAAGTGCTTTCGTTAGTGGTGTTCCTTCAATTTCAGCCTCAGCAATTCCCTCAGCCTCTTTTACTTTAAGTACTGCAGTTGGTGGTAACACTTCGAGTTCAAGGGTTAAAGGTACCCCTACATCGTCACGTTCAATGCGCACAGTTAGTCCATCCATTTCAGCCGCTATCTCTGCAACTGGATCAGTAAATACAGTGACAAGCTCTTTGGTTGGTTCAACGATATCAAATACAATGGCTTCAGAATCGATTGTGTTGTCTGTTATCTCACCAACAACCACTGCGAGACAACCAACCCCTTCATCTTCACACGTAGTGACTGAACAACCACCTGTTTATAAAAATGAGACCGTTGTTATCGTGTTTGATGGGGATTGTAATTACCTCAAGAGCAACAGCGAAAGGGAGAACGAATTTCGAAAGGCAGTACAGGAAAAAGTCTCCAGTAAACTTAGTATTCCGAGATCAGAAATTGTGGTCGGAGATGTCGTATGTGGTTCAATTCGAGTTCCTATAACTTTCTATCAATCAAGCGGATTAAGAAATGTGACACAAGTTTTGAAGAAAATTGTTGACAGCGGAAACTTTAGCTTAACTGTAAGAGGCAAAACATTTAAGGCAAGTAAGTTGGAGGTGGTTCGTCCGACGTCACCAGTTACCCAAGCGCCAACAACCGAGGCCAAGACTAATAAAATTGTGTTTTACCTTTACATAGGATTTGGTATTTTGATGGCTTTTGTTTTCTGTATCGGCGTCTGTGTGTTTGTTGTCCGATGTCGCAAGGATCGACGCGGGGGCAGCTTTTTCCTTACCAACGACACAAATTATGAACTAAGGCGATTTCATGGTATCCCTCGTGCGAGCTCGTACTCCAGGATGAACTACTATGGAGAACCTGTGGAAATAGATGCGACAACCGCTGATCCCAACGCTGAGGATGAATTTGAAGCAGGAGCTGGAGCCTATTCTTACAATAGGTCGCCTGCTAGAGGTCGTGGTAAACTAACTGGTACAACCAACGGTGATGCTTATCAGGGAGACAAGTTTAATGTTGGTGCATTGGGTATGCCGGAGTGGAACCTCCCAAGGCTGTCGGACAAAGAAGTGACTGTTGCTGAATCTGAAGAAGACATTCCCAGGTCAGCGGGTTCGGTTGGAAGTCGTCAACTCTTGATAGATAGTCCGAAAAGTTCCTTGGCTGATTCAGCGCAAGCTTATGATAATCCTGTTCTTACCTTTGGCGACTGTCAGCCAAGGTTGGGTAAGGAAGAAAATCAGAGCTAAATAAGGAAGCAAGGAGTTTTTGTGTCGTTAGGTTTCTTATGTAGCGCTGTGTTTCATCACTGAGGAAGCTGTTAATCCTTCTGGGTCCGTGTGGCTCAGTAAGCAGCCTTTGTTCAAGACTTAGTTTGTGCACCTGTATAATTACTAGATGATCATGCTATTTCGAAATTCAAAAGGGCGTTTATCTTCCCTTCGAAAGTGGATTGGATACATGTGGGTTCACCAATCAATATAAATTGAAATAAGTGAGGTGTCGATGCTCTATCGTACTTAACTGCTCAGTTCGCCAAACGATTCTGAAGAAGCGGTCTGAACCGATTGTTAGTCACTTAGTCAGTTGACTGTTATATTATACCAATCATGGGACGAGTTTATAACAAAAGAATCAGCTTGAAGTCGTTGCACTGTATAAACCTCACTTTTTTATTAATTACCACATAACTTTGACCAATACGAAAACATCGTGACTTCATTATGTAACAGTTGAATGCAGAAAAATGTAGCATCTGACACAAGGACACCGATGTTTCTTAACTAATCTGAGGGTTATTTAATTTTGGTATATATTAGATAAGTAATACAGAGAGAAATTGCTAAGCGACCACTTTGTTACTTTATAGTATTTGAATAAAGGAAATTGCATTTTTTTTTTCAATGAGTTGCGCCAAGTGAACTGCTTTGTAATCATTCATCAATCATTCATTTCGTGACATTATTGAAGAGTCAAACGTACCCCAGGGCTTCCTGTTAGTCGCCCAGACCTATCAATGATTGGGATTGACGTTTACCTTTTTATTGTCAAAGCTAACAGAAAAGAGAACCCGAGCGCTTTGCTGCGACAGTCGCGTCAGAGGTAGAGGATACCACCCTTTCGCATCAACCTCCGGCATATTGCAAGGCACAGCTTTTGTCCCCATCAACTTTTGAAAAGAGTCTTGTGCGAATGGTGCGTCATTGAAATCCATCTGGGAAAATCCCGTTATACCTGCCAAGCCCGTGCCCATGGGCCCATGCTTAACTCGATTCTCTCCACTCCCAGATTTAAGTTGCAGTTGTCAGTTGGTTCCCATTTTTCCTCGAACGTACAGTATGGTAAGTTGTCCAAATGAGGTGAAAATTGAGATGGCTGCAACCTCTCATCACGAAGCTTCTCTTATGAGTCGAAAACCGGGAATCCCCTGGGGACTACCCTGCGAATTATACAAATCTTAACGCGATGGCTTGTGGGTAGTGCTAGAATTCAGTATGGCGGACGAGGAGGAACAGAATGTGTCACCAGATCTTTCTACAAATCACGACACTGTGTGCAAACAAAAATATTTTAATTTACTTAAACACTGCAAGCAGATCGAGCAGGTGATGTACGCAACGGTTCCGGGAGAACTAACACAACCTGAAATGCAAGACAACTAATTACTTAGCGTTGAAGGAGTTGAAAATCACTTAAACTTTATTTTGATCTACAGGAGAACGAAAGATCAGTCAATCGTCTATACCATGTTAAGACTCTTCTAAACCGCTATCGAAAGCAGCGAAGGTAAGATAATTTATCCACAGAGCTGGATGGTGTTTGAGGTCTTGTTTGTGTTAATCAAAATCGCGTGAATCGAATTAACGCTTGATAATTTGAAGGTTGCAGTTCAGTAATGTCAGTGTAGGTGAATTTCACAGATAGTTTCCTAACTTGGGAGAAGAAACAACTTTATTTTTCAAAGTGTTACTGAGATGGATATAGTGGGAATCAGTGTTCCATCAATGAGCTAATTCTGTGATGTAAGAACAACCAGTTGTAGGAATCTAAAATCTAACTCCCTTAACCAGTAGCCTCTAAGTTTCTTTGCTGGCTATTTTGGGAGAATTTGAAGTCTTAGTGTGACAGTATCCCTGATCATGAGGGCCCCACTGAAAACCGCCATGGCGAGTTGGGCTCCCTCGTTAAATATTATTATTATTATTATCTGATAATTTTCTTAGTTCTCATTACCTGTTTGCTTGTCAATGAATGTAAGACAATTGCCAGAAGATTGTATTTGATAATCATCTCTGGAGCTGATTGCAGGGCAGGAAACTTGGCCCATCCGAACATCCGAGACGGGTAACTTTTCCATTCGGACAAGGAAAAAGGTGATCGAAGTTGTCCGATTGGACAAGTAAGTTGTAGAGCTCTGACATTGCCTGACTTTGGATAAATAATAAATCATTTTTTCCCGTATTTTATAACTAAGTGCCTTCAAAATAAACTTTCTCTTCTTTTTGTGGAAGTTGGCGATGCTTAGCGAAGAAATCAAAGACAAATTGATTTCCATACGATCCCTGCGTTACAGCACAATTGCATGTACATCAATCACATGTGCTGCAACGGTCAGCGACGTCAGCGACCTGAATCGCCTTAGTATAGGCAATGTCTCAATCAAAATTGTTTAAATTTTCGAAAAGGTCACGGAAGCACTTAGGAATGTCAATACAGATGAGGATGTTCCTTCCAAAAGGAAAAAGATTGGAGATAACAAAAAGAATTATGAAACCAAGCGTGTAAGAAAATTTCAGTCGGCTTGCATTGGATGACAGAATTTGACTGGGTTTGTTATGAGCAAAAAACAAACAGAATGCACTGCTCCACTTATTGGAAGTTTGCAGAATTAGCAGATAAAAGCAGCCCGATGTATATTGGATGTGGGGATGGAGTTCAAGGATTTAGGCGAGAAACTTTAACTGCCCATTCAAAAAGTCGTTGCCATGTTGTTTGCCATACGAGACTGCTGAATGACCAGAAACAGAAAGACAGCCCATTGCAAAAGATGTTTTTGCGAATAAGCCAGGAATCACAAGCAAGGCTAGAAAAACTGTTCAATATTGCCCACTTGACATACACTGACAGATGTATCAAAAGAATATACCTTTACTCAATTAGTTGTGTTGAATGTTTTTATTGACTAACTAGCTTTTCACTTAACTGGGGCATCGTTGAGATGTAAAAAGGATTTTTGAAACCCTAGATTGCTGTTACCGATTTTTTTGGGACAAGTAGTTTTGTGGTCTGGATAAGTAAAATACACACAACACTTGTCGGAAGGGACAAGTGAATTGAAAAGAAAGTTTCCTGCCCTGTGATAGGGTTAACATGTTAGGATATGTAAACACGTCTTGTAGTTTTTCAATCTGTTATGTTTTTAGTTTTCTCAAGGACAGATTAGATGATTACAATGATGACTATCGAGCTGCGCAGCCACCATTTCGGGTGAGGCTCAGTTTGGTTCTATCTTTCCAGTGATTACTCTGTAGCACTTCACATCATCTTTGTTATGTGTAGTTGTAAGGAGAAGTATTTTATACAAACAGCTGTTCTGTGGGAGGTCAAGTACATCGATGTATTACCTTTAAAGAGGCTTGAACTAACAAGGATGCATCATTTACTGCCATGTTTGCCACTTTTTTCTTTTTAGCTCAACCTAACAATCTAATGTAAAGCAATATTTTATTCACCAGGCTGAACTTCTTTCAGAAATAGTTTCAGAGGCATTTCCCAAATCTACTCCTTCTTCGTTCTTACCTGGGGAATTTATTAGTCCAGACTCACCACCAGTGAAAAAGAATAAGAAACGTGATAACTCAAAGGACAAGGACAAAGACAAAGATCCAAATGCACCCAAAAAACCGGCCAATGCTTTCTTTATGTACTGTCAACAACAGCGTACTGTTATGCAGGATGATCAGAAGGACCCCAACATAGGACACCATGAATTAACCAAGTCACTTGCTAAGGAATGGAACAACTTGGACACTGAAGATAAAAAGGTTAGGAAAAGAAAGGATTTTGTTAGAAAATGTAGTGTGTTGTTCAACCCAGCATTTTCCATATAAAAATCCTCTATATGGAAACATAAGCTAGATAAAAATGATTTTTAAAAGCTGAACTGCCTCTTGGAATTCTTTGTATTTTCTTACATAACATGAATGTCTCCTGCACCATCACCTAGTTCTTTACATGTACAGACTGTTGATTGTCTTGTGCACCATCACCTAGTTCTTTACATGTACAGACTGTTTATTGTCTTGTGCACCATCACCTAGTTCTTTACATGTACAGACTGTTTATTGTCTCATGCACCATCACCTAGTTCTTTACATGTACAGACTGTTTATTGTCTCGTGCACCATCACCTTGTTCCTTACATGTACAGACTGTTTATTGTCTTGTGCACCATCACCTAGTTCTTTCCATGTACAGACTGTTTATTGTCTGGTGCACCATCACCTTGTTCCTTACATGTACAGACTGTTTATTGTCTCGTGCACCATCACCTAGTTCTTTCCATGTACAGACTGTTTATTGTCTCGTGCACCATCACCTAGTTCTTTACATGTAGAGACTGTTTATTGTCTCGTGCATCATCACCTAGTTCTTTACATGTACAGACTGTTTATTGTCTCGTGCACCATCACCTAGTTCTTTACATGTACAGACTGTTTATTGTCTTATGCATCATCACCTTGTTTTTTCCGTGTACAGACTGTTTATAGTCTTGTGCACCATCACCTCGTTCTTTACATGTACAGACTGTTCATTGTCTCGTGCACCATCACCTAGTTCTTTCCATGTACAGACTGGTTATTGTCTCATGCATCATCACCTGGTTCTATACATGTAGAGACTGTTTATTGTCTTGTGCACCATCACCTAGATCTTTACATGTACAGACTCTTTATTGTGTCGTGCACCATCGCCTAGTTCTTTACATGTACAGACTGTTTAACGTCTTGTGCACCATCACCTAGTTCTTTACATGTACAGACTGTTTATTGTCTCATGCATCATCACCTTGTTCTTTACATGTGCAGACTCTTTGTCTCGTGCATCATTGCCTAGTTCTTTACATGTACAGACTGTTTATTGTCTTGTGCACCATCACCTAGTTCTTTACATGTACAGACTGGTTATTGTCTCGTGCATCATCACCTAGTTCTTTACATGTACAGACTGTTTATTGTCTCGTGCACCATTACCTGGTTCTTTACATGTACAGACTGTTTATTGTCTCGTGCACCATCACCTGGTTCTTTACATGTACAGACTGTTTATTGGTTGGTTGTTATTTGTTTTAGGTTTACTATGAAATGTATGAAAAGGATAAAGAGAGATATGAAAAAGAAATGAAAAAATACACATCAGACAAGGTCCCCAAAGAACCTCATGTGAAGAAAGCAAGGACCAAAACTCCGAAACAGAAAGCTGTTGCACCATCAACTGTAAAGACCACAGGGGTCATTATCAACAAGAGTTCTCCTGATCAAAGAAGCTCAGTTGTGTCACCAGCTCTAAACAACCCACTGTCTCCGCAAAGCCTTGCCTCCATGCAGCTTAATATTCCACACATTCCAATGCCGCAGCTCCTTTCACTCACAGGGGAAGATGGTGGTTTTGACAACTATCAAGAGATGCACTCTTCCCCACAAGATTCGTTTCTTTAGAAGTTTAAGTGCAGACAGACAGACAGACATCTTATATTTATACAGGATAGCCCCTTCAGTGTGGTAAACACTGGTATCAACGGGGGTCCTGTTACCCACCCATCCCACCCCAGGGGAGGACATCCATCACACAGTAATCTCGTGCGTGGGAAATTAACGTCTCCTGCCCCTAACCCTGCAGGAGACGGGACCTCCATTTATTCGTCCCTATCTGAGAAGACTAGAATATCTAACCAATTCTTGATGTTAAAGAAAGGAAGCATATTCTGCTCAGTTAATTTTAAGACCCTGAGTGTTGGTCCGGCCGGTACTGAACTCTCGACCTCCCGCACAGCAGTCCGGCGCTCTCCCAATTGAGCTAACCAGTGCAGCATCATGTATTCCCCAGTTGATGGCCATTTTGAATTGATATCTTTGTATACATTTTTGTTGGTGCTTGGAAAATTCATGAATTATCACCCTAAGATGATTCATGTAATTACCTTTTTTGTTCTTTTCCTACCAAATAAGCTATTTATTTTCATGTGGTAGATCTGAGGTGCAGCAAAAAGAATAAAAATTTTCAGCAGAAATTCTATGAGTTCAAATAAAATTTTCTTTACTCTCCAGCTTCTTTAAAAAAAAATTACCAGAAATATCAGTCCATGGGTGGGATATTTGACCAGTATTTCAGTATACTTTGTTGTGTAGAAAAGAATTAATTTTTAGTCAATCTTGTTTTGGCTGGAAACTGACACTGGCTGTAATCTGTGTAACATGTACACACCACAAGAAGAATAAACTTAACCTCAAGTTTTTAATGCAAAATAGTGGAAAGAAAGCATTACTTTCATACATGAAATGCTAGCAGTATGGATGATCTAAGCATGACAAGCAAAACACTGAAAGTGCATACAAGAGGTCGCTTATTCAGATGTCAATAAATTAATAGCTATAGGATGTTCTAGCAGGAATCAGTGAAAAATTGGCGAAAATAAAATGGACACAAAGAAAAAATGTCATCAGCAAAGACTGCTGTTTGCTTTCAATCTGGACCTTGAAACAACCCATTTTGGTCTCTATGGTTTCTGAGCCAGAGTCTAATATTTTACTTCAGATCTATGTTTATCCTTGTCTACCAAAATTTTGGGCAAATGAAGCAGTATGTGTAAAATATTAATGAAAATAAAGATTAAATTAGAATGAACAAAAGCATGCACTTCCTCTACATCTGCCATAATTCCTCTAATAAGCTCCCCCAGGGGGGCTTGCTTATTTCAGTTACAAGAGAATTTACGGTAACTTGTTGGAGAGAAGAGAATCCTCCTTCCACGAGAGACAGTAACCATTCTATCTCTACCTTGCAACGTGATGAGTTTTGTTTCCTGAAAATTAGGAAGCTAACACTGAGTTGGGAGTTATGCGCCTCTTTTTCAACAATTCCCATAGAGCATTGCGGGTTTGTCCCGGTGGAGGAAGTCGGGGATTTCACTGGATTGCTCTCGTACCTGAAAAGCAGTAAACAGCTGTCTGAATGAATTATTTGTTTGCATCTGACAAACTGCAAAGATGCATCGTTTTAAGGCTTCCAAATATCGAAATGCAGCTCCAAAGATTCCTAAAAAAGAGGTAGGTACCACTGGTGTTCACGATCTTTGGTCCCGAATACTGATTGTCAGTGAACGTACTGTGCAAATTTTATCTTTCCTTTTGACTCAAGTTAAGTTGTGGTCATTTTCATAGACTAGTTGCTCTATAAAGACAGGCAGTGTAGTTATTTAAGATATTATGGGCGGAGAGTGTAAATACTAAACTAAACGAAGGCAATTTCAGTCTATCTGGCATCTAATCTTAGATGCAAGAAATAATGCTAGACTGCTATCAAAGTCAACCTTGGAATCTATTCTACTGCAAACGTTGAGTGGTTGAAGTCTTTGTTTTAAACTTGACCTTGGTGTGTGAAACCCTTGTATATTTGTTAAGGGCCATATTTAATTTTGAAGTTCAACTCTCTATATAGAAGATCACTGAGTTATGTCCATTTCCTGGGGTCTAGGAGGTGGGGCAGTCATTTGATGTGAGCCACATAAGGGTGGAGACGGTGTGTTCCCGGAAAGTATAGGGTTTTTAAAATTATTCAAAGGGATGTAAACAGGATTTCAATTAATACATGTTGGAGCAGGCAAGTAGTGTAAAGTATCGGGGAAATATGCTCCAAGTAGGATGGAAAGGTTGCTCAGATCATTGAAATTATGCTTGAGAATTCTTCTTGGTTACCAGGAAATTCTCCTTTACAATGCCTAATGGATACCTGGGACACTCTTAGAGCTTGCAGCCAACCAACTTGGCCAATTGACGGGCAAGGTTTTGCTGGCCAAGAAAACAAAAAATACTCAGTGTAAAAAGTGACACCTGACTGCATGCACTTTTCAGCATTATCCATTTAACTCAAATTGAAAGAAACCCTTGTTTTTGAAAAGGTATTAGAGAATTTTGAAGGGAAGAGTGGCTATAACTCTTGGTAGTTTGAATGATCCATTGATAGAGCACAGTGTCTGGATATTACTTTGAGAACATTTGATACCAGACCAAACAATACACCTGTGTCCTAGGAATGTATCACTGATATAAGAGTTGGAAACTTAATGAGCTCCTATGGAAATCACATCAAAGCAAGTGATACCTTCATGGCCTTCAATGTGGATGTGGGAGGTAGGATTTATGGCACGATCTGTGACAATTATTCTAGAATATCAACCCCATTGATTAAGGTCTTGGAAAACAGAAAACAAAGGCCAATAAAAATTCTTGTATAGTGTATATAGTCATTGCATTTTCTCAAAAGAATACAAACCTTGTAGATATCAATGTACAAATTTGGTCCTCACCATTTACAATAAATATTTATCCTTTAGGTGGAGGAAGTCTGGGTGTTCTTCCTCTTGAAGAGGTCGGAAGGAAGGAACAGTCACTGCCTCTCCTTCATGCACATGCAGGTACATTTATTATTATTTTTAAATTATTAGTTGAATTTTCTACTAAGTAACGTCTTCCCTGCTCTGTTGTTCGGCTTTCCATTAAAATTTTCAAACAGAAATTTGATGCAGGTAGGAAGAATATCTTTCTTGGTCTTTTCCTTTTATTCAGATTTTGTGACTGACCTGGACTTCTCACCATCTGATGGGAAGCTTCTGACAACTTGCTCTTATGACTGCTCTGTAAGATTTTACTTCTTTTATGTTGTGTACAGAAATATTTTAATCATCACAGGCTTATAGCTAAAACTGACAACTGGATAAGAAGGCAGTTACCTCTAATATTTCAATTAGAAGTTTTGATGTAATTTTAAGATTACAAAATTTTTATTTATAGAGATCTCAAATTTCAAAATGGATTAGGTTCAAAGAATCTTACATAACTGTAGTTTTGAAGTTTTATGTCATATTTGGTTTTGCAGATTAAATTGTGGAAAATTCCAGAGGAAGGCATAAAAGAGGATATACCAGCACCACTTTGGGTTCTACCACAGCAGCCTGTAAGTGAAAACATCAGTGATCTACCACAACAGCCTGTAACATCAGTAATTTGAAACTTTAAAACTTCCTATACTATAATTCATTTTACTGGCATAAAAGAGGATATGCCAGCACCACTTTGGGTTCTACCACAGCAGCCTGTAAGTGAAAACATCAGTGATCTACCACAACAGCCTGTAACATCAGTAATTTGAAACTTTAAAACTTCCTATACTATAATTCATTTTACTGGCATAAAAGAGGATATGCCAGCACCACTTTGGGTTCTACCACAGCAGCCTGTAAGTGAAAACATCAGTGATCTACCACAACAGCCTGTAACATCAGTAATTTGAAACTTTAAAACTTCCTATACTGTAATTCATTTTACTGGCATAAAAGAGGATATGCCAGCACCACTTTGGGTTCTACCACAGCAGCTTGTAAGTGAAAACATCAGTGATCTACCACAACAGCCTGTAACATCAGTAATTTGAAACTTTAAAACTTCCTAACTGTAATTCAATTCTTATCCCCCTCCTCTCCCCCCCGAAAAAACAAAACAAAACAAAACATAAAGAAACAAAACAAAAAGAAGCAAAACAAAACAAAACAAAAAGAAACAAAACAAAACAAAAGAAACAAAACAAAAAGAAACAAAACAAAAAGAAACAAAACAAAACAAAAAGAAACAAAACATCAACAGGCTGATTACCACATAAAAGCCCTTAAATGTCCCCCCGAGTAAAACATAAAATATCTTCAGTGGTTCTGATTTTATTATTGTTTGTTACTTTGTTTCTTAGGGTCGGGTAGAAAATGTGCTCTTCCATCCTGCAGCAAGTGAGGTAAGGTATGAGTGGTAAAATTAAAGGAAACATTTGGCACAAGAAAACATTTTTATTACCTTTATTTAATATGCATTTTGTTCATCCTAAAATGCTCCAATGTTTGTGTGATTTTTTTATGATAATTATGCTTATTGTTGGAAATAGGTACTATCTAGTTCATGTGGGAAGTCTGTCACAATCTGGGATCTACAGAAACAGGAGCTGAAATGCAGTCAGTATATGCAATAAATGTACTACTGCCATTTTAACCAAAATAATTAATATTTCTTAACCTATTGACGTCCAGTGCGCTGGCAAGCGCCCATGGGGAACCACACCCTTTCTACGCCTTGTGACGTCATCACTTTTAACCCTGGAGCACGACTTTGAACACGTACTTAAACAGATTGAAAATATCTTACAAATGATAGCAGAATGAGCGCAATTGAGTGAAGAAGATTGGAGAAATAGCCATAAAACCATGTAACTTTGACCTGAAAATCTGCACGAAAATCTTGTCCCACTGCCCACCTATCTTTCTGAGCATTTGGTTTGAAAGTAATGAGTAGTTTCCGAAAAAATCTCTACACCAAAATGAAGCCTACTAAATTTCCAGCAAGTAAGAAGAAACTTCAGGCAAGGAAAGGGGAAAAAAGGGCAGGAGAAAGAGAGAAAAGTAAAAGTCGAAATTTTGCTTTCTGCGCCTGCCCGAGATTTTCAGGCCGCTATTTTGCATTTGGATCGAAAGGCCATCAAGCGTACAAACTGTGAATGGGTTCGTGGTAAGTTTGAGCTTTTAAAACCACAACAGTGACCCGAAATCTGCTCAACTAGCTTCAAAACACAGTTTTTCACAAAAGCTGCAGCTATTAATGGGTTAATACACTATTGGTGCTACATGCATGTATTCAATATAAGTAATCAAGGGGTGTTTTGTCATTTCATGGTTTGATACAGATTTGGAAAACCATCAAGACGTGGTTCAAAGTTTTTGCTGGAAAGAGGATGGATCTTTATTAGTTACATCCTGCAAGGTCAGCTCCTCATCTTGTAACAAAGCGTGTCATTGACTGCGATTGCAGTCTATAATTTATAATAATTATTTCTAATTTAACACCTGATTATAATTTATTTCTCATTTTGACAAAAGCACATGTCTACAGAGAGGTCATTCTTTCAACCTTTACTTTCTCAGGACAAGAAGATCCGCATCCTAGACCCACGTGGTAATTCTGTTGTTGTGGTGAGTCCACAAAATAATGACATAACATTAGTCAGTTAGCCCCATGAACAAGAGCCTCACTCAATGATCGTCATGCAGTAACTTGTTTTGGACAAAGAATTGCTTGATTATGCTTTCTTTTTTAAAGATATATAAACATTTATAATAATAATAATAATAATAATAATAATAATATTTATACAGGACAACCCCTTCAGTGTATTAAGCACTGGTATCAATGGGGGTCCTGTTATTAAAATACTTAATTAAAAAATACAAAAAGTCTAAAAGGTAAAAAGCACTAAGAAAAACTGTTGCATGGCCGACATCAATGAAAAGTTTCTTGAAAACGACCTGGTTATATTAAATCTTTGTGAACAATTCTACCGAATAAAACAAAAAAACTTTTTTTCACCAAAGAATATTCATTCATCTACGCTTACATGACCACAGAACGACAGAAGTCAAGCGATCTTTGATCACCCTATAAACACAGATTTGTGAATACATGACCACAGGCAGCCCAAGCTCACCACTAGAAAAGCGGACGCGACCCCCACCTTGTCACGCAACGTTCCACATTTATAAAGGTTTGTATGGGATGTCATCGGCCCGCCTCAAAAGAGAGAAAAAAATGTCTTGTTTTGAAACAAAATGGGTCCACCCCTATTGAAGATGGGAATTAAGAAAACTACTGTTACTTGAAAACTATGTAACTGTTTGTTGTGTGTGCAGGAATGTAATGGCATTGGCGGAATAAAGGACTCAAGAGTGCTGTGGCTGGGAAACACAGACAAAGTTATAAGCACAGGTTTTGGTCAGGTGGGAATATTATTGACACAGTTAATTTATAGAAAACTGGCACATTTTAATTTTTTTTCTCCCTTTATTAAAGAACCTGCTCATAATTTTCATGACACTTAGCAACTGCAGTTCCTTTTTTTTTATCTTGCTAAAAGCATGAAAAAAATGCACAACAAGAATGAATAAATGAACCTTTATTTAATTGTCATAAAAATTCTAGTACCGGACAGTACTAATTGGGGACACTAACAAAACAAAGCTAGTTAAAATAAAGTAAAGTGGAACAACAAGGAAACATAAAAATTAATGAATGGTCCAACTGTTCTGACTAATATTGGGATGTTAGCCTTGGAGGCTGATTCCTCAGTTAAAGTGAAAGAGTCTATAATAGTGTTAAGAACTGACTACTGAAAGTAAAACTTAAGACATCTTTGAATTACTCTTTTAACAGTCTCGCACCCGCGAACTTGTTGTTTGGGATGTGAATAATATCAGCAGCCCAGTACAGAGGATGAGCTTTGACACATCTTCTGGGTAAGTTAGTTCAAAGTTTTTTGGCATTTTTAACTTTCCTGTTTTGTACCAAATGAGAATTAAATTCTAAGTTAATAAAGAACAGATGTAGCAGTAAAAGCAAGTTGTAATCCAAGGATGATTGTGAGTTTCGAAATTTCACCTTGTGGTAACAGAGTTATC